AACATTTTTCTGCCATTAATAAAGAATATTCTAATTCTAACCAACTAATCATAAAACAATAACATTCGTGCTATTGACGGTTGCGAAGTTGTCAGATTTTACGAATATAAAATTTGTCTAGTGTGTGTTACAGTACCAAAAAAAAGTTTTTTTCTAAAGTATGAATATATATCCCATATGAAAAATCTCATTTTAAGGTTTATATTTTTGTCAGGGAAAGTCGTGCACGTTCATCCTTATAATATAAATATATTCGTCAAAAAAATTGAAAGAATTCAATTATTATTTTCAAAAAATAATAAAATTCTTGTAATGAATTCAATTATTTTGAATATACCTAATTTTAATAAAATTCTTTAAAGAAATTCAATTATTTTCGAAACAACTTTAATTGAATTTCTCGAAAAAATTTCATTATTTTCAAATATGTCTATAAAATTCTTTATAACAATTTAATTATTTTTAAAAATTTTAATAAATTCTTCGAAACATTTCCATTATTTTTATAAATAGTAAAATTCTTCGCAATAATTCAATTATTTTTATAAACAGTAAAATCCTTTGGAGGAATCCAATTATTTTCAATTCACTTTTAATAAAATTCAATTGCTTTCAAAATGTTCAATTAAAATTATTAAAGAAACTCCATTAAAAAAAATTCAAAGAAATACTTCAAAAGAATTAGAATTTTTAAAAATTTTAATGAAATTCTTTGCGAGAATTCAGTTATTTTCCTAAATAATAAAATTCTTTGAAGGAATTCTATTATTATCAAATTTTTTGATAAAATTCTTTGCAACAATTCGATGATTTTCAATACATTAATTTTAAAATTGAAAATATTTGATAAGAAAAATGATAAAAAAGTTAAAATACAAAAAACCAAACAACAACTAACTTCAAACTGCGAACAGATTACCGGAACATGTACTTTATTATTATTAATTAATTAAGGTTATAATTATTTTTATTTTATAATTCGACGCCCCTCGTCAATAAAGTGTTTATTCGAACGCCAGTGCAATAAAGCGTTAATTCAGAAAATTGTGCTATATGGTGTCTATTCATTTGTTCGTGTAATATAATCTCAATTCAGGTTGAGTTCATTAAAGGGTAAATTTAATTTTTAATTACAAATTACAGATCTGCAATATTTTTCATTTTTCGATAATATTTTGTAAAAAAAATTACAATGAATTAATAAAATTAAATTGCACAATTGCTTAAATATAAGCATCATATAAATTAAATTAACCCTTTTTTTAAATCAACGTGAATTAAGACTATGTTTGACAAACAATTGAATAGACACCATAGCACAATCTTTTCATTAAAAAGACTAAAATTTTGTTAAATATTATGTTTTTTCAAATTGAAATTATGCAGATTTTTGTTCTTTACTTTTAAACAAAATTAGAAAATTGTTAAACAACTGTGATTAAGAAATAGAAAATTTATTTGTTTTGAATTATTTTTGTTTATGAATCACAATTTTTTTAACAAAATTATTATTTTGTTTTAGAAAAAGAAGAAAAATATTTGCACAATTTCTATTTTTAACCTTATTTTTGGAAGAGGATTTTCCACAGGAATTAAGACATTAAAAAATTTCAAATTCAAACCTTCTTTAAATTAAACAACTTATAAAAGTATTCTTATAATAATTATAATTATTATTATTATTATTATTATTATTATTATTATTATTATTATTATTATTATTATTATTATTATTATTATTATTATTATTATTATTATTATTATTATTATTATTATTATTATAATTATAATATGTAATTAACCCTAGAAGGAGTAACTGGGGTGTCTGGACACCCCAAGCAAAATTCAAAGTATTCCCATGGCTTAACCAATAATTTTTTACGCTCAAAACTCGTTGATAATTTAGTTTGAACCTCTATCTTTTGACACCTGTATGTGCCGCCAAAATTTTTGCTCTAGGAAGAGCTCTATTTCCTGTTAAAATACGTCTGGGGTGTCTGGACACCCCAGTTACTCCCTAACGTTAGAAAAATTGTCAAGATAAGTAAATTCAAATTTTTTTTAAAAAATGGTTTTTAATCAGTTAAAATCATCTGATAAAGTATAAATTGATAGGTTATGCATGAAAAAGTTGTATTTTATAAAAAAGAAACATTTTTATACAAAAATTCTATTTTTATGAAAAATATATTGTTAATAATATTTTAACATATATACACTGCAAAAATAAGTGTCTTATTTGATATCTTAAAATAAGATGTAAGATGGAAAAATGGTATCTTACATCTTAAAATAAGATGTTTTCTAAAGTATCTTACTGATTTTTAAGATGTTTTATACGTCTTAGATATTTCTTCTATCTTAAAAAAGTAAGATACTTCTGTAAGTTTTTTAAAGTATCTTAAATTAAGATGTTTCTGTCTCAATAAGATGTTTAGCGATAAGATACTTGTGAATTGTAAGATGCGAAAAAATTTTAAGTTACTAAAAACTAAGATACATAAAATGTCTTACATATAAGCCCATAGTTAACCTCAAAACTTTTTTCCCGAAAAATATGCTGAAAATATGTACGAAGATGCTTTTAGTATCTTAAATTAAGATATTTTAAATGACTAAAAAGTGACTACAATAACATCTTAGAAATGACTACCAAAACATCTTAAATAAGATACTTCTTTTTGCAGTGTATTAGAGGTATTAAGAATTGTTAATTAAAACTTTGGTTAAATATTAATTTACAGAATCATTTCATAAGTTATTAATTTTAATATATTCAGATATATTAAGTTTGTAAAATTTTAAATTTATAACACCATTTTTAGTAAATATTAATTGTTTAAGTCCATTTTATAGTTCATTTTTATGATTTTCACTATTCGTCAATTGTCTTTAATTTCTTTCACTTCAGATGTTCAAATAATTATGTTTTTTGAAAGTAATACAAAAACTAATTTTTTCCCCTAACAGTGTATCTATTTAACTTTAAAAACCTAAAATAGTTTTTAAATTAGTCAAATTTTTAAGAAACTACAACGTTTTTTGTGAAAAAAGTCAGTTTTGCAATTTTTTGGTGTTTTTTTGGGTTTTTTTAAAATTTTTTTTATTTATCAAAATATGAATAATATTATTGTATTCCTTACTAAAAAACTAATCAATTCATTATAATAAATTTTTTTACGTCAAATAGAAACCTTATAAAACAAGTTTAAAGCGTGGGGTGTCGGGACACCCCAGTTACTCCTTAGAGGGTGAGTAAATTAACGTACTCCTTCTAGGGTTAAAGATGACCGAGAGATAAAATCATTATTTCATATTATCAGAATATTGTTACTGTAACTTCATCAAAATTATTTTCATCATTTTAATTCAATTATTATTTTCTAGAATTTTAAATTATTTTTTATGAAAATAATAATTGAATTCCTTAAAAAAATTTTATTATTTATGAAAATAATATTGAATGTTTGCATATACAATTTTATAAAAAATTTTTTTAAATAATTGATTTCTTTTTGGGAAATTTTATTAAAATAGTAGATATTGAAAATAATTGAAATTAGAAAAATTTTTGAAAATAATTAAAATTAGGACAAGAATTTTTTTGACAAAAAAATGGAAAAAAAAATGAAAAAAATGAAATTATGAAAATAATTGAACTTTGGAGAAGAATTTTGATATTTATAAAGATAATTGGGATTTTTACGAAAAAGTTTATCAAATTTTAAACATAGTTGCATTTTATAAGAAGAATTTTTGTTGTAAATAATTGAATTTCTGCAATTATTTGTAATTTTTCCAAAATTGAATTTTTTTAGTGTTTTCAACAAAAATTTAAATTAGAAAATTTTCAAATTCTATTATTTTTAAAATTGCTAATTTTATTTAAAAAAAAGGTAGCAAGAAGTTAGCCGCGCGCTTTAGCGCGCGAATTGTTGCTAGTTGTATTTGAACCAATAACTTCAGTATTTGTAGCAATCATCATTTAATTGAATTATTTTATGCAAATAAATATTGATTCATGTCTTTTGTTACACTGAAAATAATTTCTATTCCGAAAACAACAAGGTGGCTATAGTTGAAACTTGTTAGAGACAAATAGTTAAAATAGCAAGGAAAGAAAAATATGTTTAACCATGTATTTTTGTTCAAAAAACTAAATATTTGATTATGTTGACTAAATAATTTGTTTTAGTAATTTGATTAGCACAAATAAAATTGGTTAAATTAACTAGAACTCTGGTTAATCTAACTAGAATTACAATGTTGAATATATCTTAACCATAACTGTAGTTAAAAGAACCATAATTCTAGTTAAAATATCCAGAATTTATTTTCAATTTGTCTTTAAAAGTTATTAATACTGAAAGTATGCACTTCTTTAAATTCTTTTTCATTGTTGCCTTACCCAATAAACTTTGTGCACACAATTGATTAATAGTGACCCATACATACCATTATTCCGCACCTACCTCTCAATATATACCCCTGAATTCAATAAAAAAAAGTTACGAGTGACTGTTGTCTACATGTTTATATTTGTTAACTGCCTTTTCACTTTGAAGAAACGTTCCTGTACCGTTTCATAATCCCACGCAAAAACACTTATCCCATTACCTACTCAAGTGCGCGAAGGAACAACTGTAAGAATTTCCTCGACATTAATTCTCAATATTTTTATACCATCTACTCTCCGATGTTCTTAAAAACTTTCCCCAAAACTCAAATATAACTTGACTCAACTAAACTTAAACAAACAAAAATAAAAATATTTGTTTGGACGCAAAAGTTAAGAATACCTGTTTTAGAACTTCTATTATGTATATATAACCTAACCAGTTTATAGAATCAGTTAACTAGTTTATAGTAATTTAGCTACTGAATAGATTCGCTATAATTATCATTTAAAAACAAATTTGCATTGTTAAAAAAGAAAAAAATAGTAATAGGACATGTATGCATATGAGATGAACTGACGGGGCTTTTTTCTGTTATATCAGTTACAGGTCAGTGGACAATTGCTGGACACAGAATTCCAACCAACAGTGACGGCAACATGTAAAGCTGGTCACATGACCATTCATGTAAATCTAAATCAGAGTTTTGTGGGTGCTGTTCATGCTCGAGATTTTCGAACACCACAATGTATGGTTCCAGGAAATGGTTCGAGTCACGCCACTCTTGGAATAAATCTTTTTGCCAGTAAAGGTTCGCCAGATTATTGTGGCGTACTTGTTAATAATGTACGTATAATGACGAGTTTACTACATGAATCATCACTGCATAAATTATCTCATCTCACTCTCTTTTGAAATAAAATCTTCTAGTCCAAAAAAGGGAACATTTTTCAAAACATTCACGCAACTATTGCACATATGATCAATATTATAAGAATCTTTTCAACAGAGAAACAAAATATTATCTAAAAAGTTACGAAAGAATTTAATTTCAGCATACTGAAGAACGATCTGTACCAATAGCAGTAAGAATACATGGGACATTAGAATTGGCAGATGACAAATTCTACGTGATAACTTGCGGCAAGGCAGGATTTAAAAATGCCAAGTGAGTCTTTTTTTTGTCATTGTTGTAAAATTGTAAAATATTTTATTCACTTTTGTTGATGACAAAAGTAAATAGAACGTAAAGTAACTGGACATTTAGAACGAAAAAGAATAAGAAATAAAGTAAATTGATAGTTTTGTAGCACAAAACCCATCAATATAATTTCCAATGAATAAGAAATGAATCACTAACATCTTTCTATTCCTTTTAATGATCCCTCGACCGCTTATTCACATTCTCGCGATCAGAGACTCTCGGGAATTAAGTACATATCTATATCTATACATGTGTGTACTATATACTATATGAAACGATGCTCGGAAAGTATCTTGTGTCTACATACACACAAATAGATTTATGGCGAATTATTTTCTCTATGCAGGTTACCGATGCGTAAACCTCTGAGTAAACAGCTAACACATATCGCGAATAGAAAACGATGATTCTGCGAGAGCGCTCTGTTCCTATTCACTGACTCTTCTCTCAGAAAATCCAAAATTCTAAAGATACTTGGAATTTTCATACTCCCATATGTATATATATATGCATACAATTATAAATGTATTTTACTTTGAGTGCGTACGCATTTAGCCATTTGCTGCATTCCAATTTTGTATAAAATAGTTAAATACCTCCCTAATTATTATTTCATTTTATTTTACTTTCATTTCATTGATATTTTTTACAATTGTATATACAAGTCTCACTGAATAATTTTAATTGTTTCCCTATGTACAATATTATCGCACATACAATTCGGCTTTATTTTTACTATAGTTTCATTTCAATAAATTATCCAAGAACAAAGATTTAAAAAATTACAAAAAGGAAATGAATCAGGGTGCCTAAAGCAAGGAATGAGAAAAAAATTCCTTGACTTTTCTTTCTTGGGACACATGGTTATTCTGACCCCACGTTTTTTTACGAAAATCTTTTTATCTATTGTTTAATATTTTTATAAGGATTTTAAAGTAGATAGACTTATTTTACAGAGTTTAAACTATATTTCAAAAAATTCTTCAGTTTGATCAGATGAACAGTTCAAAATTCGTTGAGTTGTTTTTGTCGCAGTATAACTGACGCACAGCAATTATCACAGACGCGCAGTAATAAACGCTTTTCATATTCTTTTTAATTAAATTTGTTTAAATTCTCTACTTTTATAAAGCATTAATTTTTATAAAAATTTCTTTAATATAAGTTTAAAAAATTTTAAGTTGAATTCCTTCAGCATAAATACTTTTTAACAAATTGTGTGCAATTTTAACGCTACAGTGGGCTAAAATAACTCTAAAGTGTATTATGTATTAGGGGTCGTTCACAAACTACATCACACTCCTAGGGGTAGGGGGGTGTCAAGCTCTGTGTGACGAAGCGTGAAAAAATTTTTTTTGTATGTAAAAAATGTTACGAAGGGGGGGGGGGGGAGGTAAAAATCAGTCTGAGAAAGCATGACGTAGTTTGTAAATGACCCCTTAGGTGTTAAAAAACACAAGAATTTTGTTAAAATAACATATGTATATCGTCTAAAAACTACACTCAATAAAAATTCATTTTTTTTCTATGATGCCGTAGTTATCGTATAAATATCAATATCAAGACGTAACAAAATTTATTACTCTGAAAATTTAAGATTTTAAATTTGTAAATAGTAAAAGTAACTGCATTTTTTTCTTCCTGTACATTTTTTTTATAAAACCGTATTCAATTAAAAATTTTGTATAGTAACAAAATTTTTCTATTTATTTAATTTAAAATCAGCTGTTATAATTAATTATAGTAATTAATATTCATGGGAAAATTGAATATAAAAAAAAATGTTTAGTTAATCACTGCTATAGAATAAACGAACCCGATGATAATTATCTTAAAATTTTATTTCAAGATTAAAATAAATAGTGACGATAAATATTGTGAAGTACTAATAGATGATGATTTTTAGAAACGAGACTTCTTTGGTGTCTCTACGACTTCTGGATGGAACTCGTCGGATTCAGACTGCCTATATCGGTCAGAATTACACTCTCCAAGCAGAAATCTCACGACCCGATGGTAATTTCATTTCATTTATTGTACAAATTATTTTTTATAAAAAATTTTTCAATTTTCTCCACTTTCAATATTTTAATATAGTGTAAAATTTTATTAATACGCAAAGTAGTATAAATATTCCACAGGAATATTCGAATTTATCGAAATAGCGTTTTAAACGTTTCTTTTGAAAAATTGAAGGATAAAATTCAATGTATATTAGCCAACTAGACGTTTTATTTGGTTTTAAATGATATTTTTATTCAAAACGAATAAATAGTTTAGTAGCCTCTAAGGCAAATATAATATATCTACTAAGAATTATCTTGCACCAAAAACTGAATAAGAATGATCTTGCATTTGTTTTTCTATAAGCATTATATGAACGGGAGGCGTCGATTTATGCATGTGTAAAATGTATATTTTTTAATAAATGTTTATAATAAAATTTTAGTTTTTGATGAGGACGGCTATGCCGTTGAAACGTAAAAATTATAAAATTGGTATATTTTTTCTTAACCTGACTCAGGGTGATCGATAATTTCAACTCTATTATTAAAATTTTGCCGAGTGATAGTTTCAATCATTAATTAATTTATTATTTTTGCTTAGTGCAATAAAATTAGTATTAAGAGTACTTTGTACGAAAAGGCATAGTCCCGTTTACTACTAAAGTAAATAAATAAATAAATTTATACATTTTGATTATTCTATCAAATTTCGCAATAAATTATTGACGAAAAAATGGAGCAATAAGAATTGAGAGAAATATAACTGTAAAATTAACAGTAACCACGGTATATTATTTGGAAAAACTATACATGCATATATACATGCACAGGAAAAAAAAAGTCTGACTCCGTTTACACCTTAAATTCAGCCCATGTATTTCACATAAGTCTGTCCTTGTTTAATGGGGCTGACTCCGTTTACACCTTAAATTCAGCCTCGAAAACAGGCTAAAAGTAAAACTTTTTTTTTAGTGTGTGTTTAGAACAGCTGGAGCAGAAGCTGCAATCCAACCCGCAGCTTCTTTCTTCTTTTTTCGCATATATTAAATTAACCAAGTGCATAATATACTTTCTCACTTCTCTCTCTCAATATAATATACTTTATAGAGAGAGAGGGGAGTAATTTTATATTGTGTCTTGAATTTTATTTTACATTACAGGAATGCACGGTATACGCGTCAAGAATTGTTTTGCTTTCAACAAAAAGAACGATTCCCAAGGTCTGCTAGACGATAAAGGGTATGTCAATCTTTAAATTCTGTATAATTAACATTCAATATAAACTGGAATGTACTTTCAAAAAGGACAAATATTTATTGTGCAGAAGTATTTAATATATTAAATTAATGTAATTAGACAGAAAAATAATTACCAGTAAAATGCGAGAGCATTAAATACAAATGGTATGACAAAAAGTAAAATGAAGACAATATTTATATTCTCTTAAATCTGGAGAATTTTATCGAGAATTATTGGACTTTAACTGTTTCCTACAAAGAATGTTGTTTGTTAATTTTATATGCATCCGTGAAATATTTTACTTGGCAAATGTATATTATTTAATTGGATTAATAATAGAAAGAGAGAAAAGATATACAAACATTTTTTCAATTTATTTTAAACTTTTTCCTTAATTTTTCTTTAGTTGATTCTTTCCAATCCTAGTTTCTTTCTACTTTAAATATCTATTTAAAACCGATAGGAAATAAGATAAATTATATTATTTATTTAAAAATTATTTGATTCAAGTAAATATTTATTTGTTAATAGTCAAGTAATCGGCTGTTTGAATCAAATAACTTTTTTCAATGTACAAAATTTAATAATTACGTTGGTGATGTTTACAACATTTATAATCAACAGTAGAAAAAATATTTTTCTCTTCAAATGTTTGGCTAAATAATTTTCTGTATAACAATATTTCTTCATCATTTCTCTAAATTTGAATCGGCGAAAAATATACCACTGATTTCAATTAGTGTATATTCGCTGAGAAATTAGTGAAATTTCACTGATTTAGAATGGACAATTGAGGCTCCGGATCTTAAAAGGGCACTTTCCGCATAGACTTTACATGGTGAAAGTGCTCTTTTAAGATCCGGAGCCTCAATTCACAAAATAAAAATTTGTAAACAAATATTGCTTCTTGTATAAAAAATATTTTTTCTTTCTATCTTTGGATCATAAACGTTGTGAACTACCACCACGTTCGTAATTGCAAATACTACTAGTGCAAATTTTTATTTTACAAAAATGCTAAGAAAATTTTACATCACTGTCATACCAAAATGCAGAAAAGTTAATTTATATTCTTTTAAAGAATCGAATTATTCAATATACATATGTATATCATTTATAATCTATGTTAATCAGATTTGCGCAACTAAACTCTTCTGAATTTTTTTTTAATTTATAGGTGTCCAATAATAGAGAAAAAGCAGGTGATGACGAAATTTATATATGATCGAAACACGGGTTTTGCCGAAGCAACCTTGTTCTCAATGTTCAGATTTCCAGACAGTAGTACCCAAGTTCATTTTCAATGCGACATCGCAGTATGCAAAGGTTAGTCAAGTTATACAATATTCATCATATTCAAAAAAAGTTATATTATCGCATAACTTAAGACAATACTTATTACTATGTGTTAATTTCAATGTACATGTACTAATTTTTATTCATGGATAGAATGCGCGCAATGAAAGTTTATAATACCTACTACCGGCGGGAAAAGAATGCGAGATTTTAATGAGAGGAGGATAAGATAATCAATTTTCCTATCACTACTTGCAATTTATAATGTAATTTAATACTCATTTATTAAAAGTGAAAAATATTATGTAATTTTTAATAACATTATAATGTATTATTAAAAAATTGCACAATTCATTTCTCACTAAATTGGAAAAAAAGAGATACGCTATAATCAGAAAAATTGTGATCGAATGAATAACTTTTCTACAATATATTGTAAAATAATATTTATGAAGCGTGTTATACTCCTTTTATGGTAAACCGACATTTTAGTCAAGAATTTTTATTCAATCGATTGGGAATTTAACACAAATTTCAAATATTTAATCCGAATGTTTTACATAAAAAAATTAAATGAATCGCATTACTAAGAAAATTTTTTTTAATACAAAAACATGCAGGGTCAGAATTTCCCAAACGGATCACCTGAAACTAAAAAATTTTCTTTTTGCATCAAAATATTTTTTTTGACTCTTAATATATGGTTAAGAAGAATCCCTGAAAATATTAAGCCAAAAAACAAATTTTTATAAAAGTTATTAACAATTAGATTTTTTAGTACTGCTAAATTAAAAAATTTTTTTCTCGAGTTCCAATTGACAAATTTAAAATATGGGTTTTTTTCGTCTTGAATTTCACTATTTAAATATATTTTTTGTTTTTAAATTTTTTTATTTTTTATATGGTAAGGGGTCCCAAGGTGGCCACCCATCTTTTGAACGACTGTAATTCCTAAACGGTATTATATAACATAATTAATAATTATATGTCCTCCCTGGTAAAAATTTCGGACTAATTCCGGATTAAATACGGACAGATTATTACGGATTAGTCCGAAAATTGTACGAAAAAGGTCCGAAAATGATCCGCGTTATTCTGATATTAATCCGAACGAAAACCTGAATTCGAAAACACTCCGGAGTAATCCTGAATGTCTACGAATTCAGTCCGTAATTAGTCCGCTTCAATTTGGAATTAGTGTGGTAAAATCCTATTCTAAAACAAATACGAAACAATCCGAAATATGTATGCTATGAATCCGGAAATAGTCGGACACCCGAATCATATTATATCCCTGGCAAAAATTTCGGACTAATCTGGATTAAATCCGGACATATTATTGTTGATTAGGACGATAATTATACGAAAAATATCCGAAAATGATCCGCATTAATTTAACGTTAATCCGAGCGAAATTATGTATCCTAAATCAGTCTGGAATAATCATGAATGTCTATGAATTAAGTCTGTAATTATTACGCAACAATCCGAAATTATGTCCGTTGAAAAATTCATCTAAAATAAATACGGAATAATGCGAAATCAATATGTAAAGAATACGAAATCAGTCGGCAATAATCCGAAAGTAATCTAGTTAAAAGATTTAATCCGAAACAAGTATGGAACAATTCAAAATCTGTATGCAAAGATTTTGGTATAATATTGAATTTGTATATTAAGAACAATTTGTATTAAATTCAGATAAATTTAAACTATAAATATATTTTCGTATGGCATATAAACCTGACCATAACCAGATTAATTCCGAAATTAATCGGACTAATTTCACATTTGCAAGTTGCATATTATCAGACTAACTTCGGACTAAATCGGACTAATTACGAATTCAATAGTTATAAAAAAACTGTATTCAGGGTCAAAAACTCCACAATAAACCGTACTTTTGCGGACAAATTCCGGATTAGTCCGAAATCGGTCCGACTTTTTGTTCAGGGTATTTACTTATGATAGATAAAATATTTACTTCTGCAGTCAATTTGTTTTTACAAATTTACTAGTATTATTAGTTATCTTTTTTTAATATTATAATTAACACTGATGTGTTAGTTTTTTGTAATTTCTTTTCGTGGCACTTCATAAATTCTATTATGAATTTGAAATCCTATGCGAGCGTGGTATAGTGGTTAGTGTATTCGATTTCAGTGCGCGTTAGAATGTTAGATAGGTGTAGGTTCGAATCCCCAAGCGTTAGAAATTTTAAGTTAAAAATGTAAATAAAATTGCGATAGGTATATCGAAAAATATGTTGAATGTACCATAAAGTAATGATAATTAATAATTATGTGTAATAATAATTTTTTTTTATTAACATTCACTAAATTGTCCAGTCTAATTTTTGACTGTTTCGGACTAATTCCGGATTTAGTAGTTAAAATTAACTGATTAATTTCGGACTTCATCCGACCAACTCCGGATTTACTTGTTCACAAACCGTATAGAGTTAAAATTTATCCGGATTAATTTCGGGTGACAAAAACCTGACCATAAACCGCACTGTTTCGGACAAATTTCGGATTAGTCCGAAATCTGTCCGGTTTTTTAACCAGGGCTGAAACTGTATCTCCTTAGCTAAATTTTTAGCAAAAAAAATTGTTTATTTTACTAAGGAAAATAAAACTTGGACGAGTTTGGAAAAACAGCTAAAATTTTGCTTAAAAAAAGTAGCCCCAAGGTAGCCATATTCCTTAAACGTCTCCGAGTGTAAAACCGTTTTGAAAAAATGAGCCTCAATTAGAAAAAAGTTATTAATTAAAAACTGCAGCTGTGTAGAGCTTTCATGACGTTAAACTCGCCCCGCGCACATTTGCATTTTTTACAATTTCCAACTTTAACGAGGTTTTTAGAATAGTATTCGAATTTAAAGATTTTTTCCATAATAATTTCTTAAAAGTATACTTAATTCTGCGTAAAATGAGCATTTTTTGAAAACATTTTAATACAAATTGAGGGAGATACGTGAAATTAAAGATTTTAGAATTTTTTCACTAAATTTACAAATATTTCAAATTTGTTGTGGAATTTACATCAGGGCACTTTAAATTTTGTTTTCACTTTTAATTGATTAACTAAAACGGCATGCATGTCAAACTTGTTTTTGATAGATTTAAATAAAGACTGAGTCCGTATTTAGAGTGTGGGTTTGGTTAAATTTTAACTTTTCTGTATTTATATTGTTTAAGTGTGTCAGTGTTTTTCAAACATTATTTAAGATTCAAATCTATTCTAGAATCTTTAAATAAAGAATAACAGATAATTATTTGACAATTTATATAAGAATCCCTTAAAATTTAGTAAAATATAAATTTGAACTTCTACCACATTTTTTAATTATTTTTTATTGTCGAACTTTTTATATGCTTTTTTCGCAATACTGAACAATTTTATTAATTTTGATAATATAGAATAGATTTTAATCCTAAATAATGTTTGAAAAACATTGACACACTTAAACAATATACATATAGAAAAGTTAAAATTTAACCGAACCCCCCCTCCTACACACTAAAAAAAAAGTTTTACTTTCAGCTTGTTTTCGAGGCTGAATTTAAGGTGTAAACGGAGTCAGCCCCGTTAAACAAGGACAGACTTATGTGAAATATATGGGCTGAATTTACGTTGTAAACAGAGTCAGACTTTTTTTTCCTGTGTAAATACGGACTCAATCATTATTTAAATCTATCAAAAACAGTTTGATATGCATGCCTGTTTAGTTCATCAATCAAATTAAATTCAGTGAAAACATAAAGTGCCCTGATGTAAATTCCACAACAAATTTGAAATATTTGTAAATTTAGCGAAAAAATTCTAAAATCTTTAATTTCACGTATCTCCCTCAATTTGTATTAAAATGTTTTCAAAAAATGCTCATTTTACGCAGAATTAAGTATACTTTTAAGAAATTATTATGGAAAAAATCTTTAAATTCGAATACTATTCTAAAAACTTCGTTAAAGTTGGAAAAATGGAATGAAAATCGATAAATCGCAAATATTTTCAACCGCGGTTTTGTGTTGATAATTCATCTGCACAAATTTATATTCTGTTTAATTTTGTACGCATTTTAATTCTGATAGGGTTATACTTAGAATTGAAAACAATTTAATTCTGTTCAAAACCATAAAATTTGTAATGATTTTAATTCCACGTTTGTCATAAATATTTGCTGACACTTTTAATAAGAAATAAATAAAATTCCAAAATTCACAATGCTTTTAATTCCAAACCAATGTCATTTTTGAAATTTTGTGTAAACATTTTAATCTGTATTTTAATCAACCTCTTCTTATCGAGGAGATTTTTTAAATAAAATACAAATTAAAAGTTGTAACAAAAATATTGGTGTTCATTTGAACATTTGATAGGTTCATAAATTCTCGAAAAAGTCGAGCATGAAACTTAAAATAACAAATAAAACAGTTAAATTTTATATTTTCATCTCACTTCTATTATGAAGGGAGAAGAAAAAACAAATGACATCTATTTGCTCGAATATATCACTGGAAAAGTGATTTAAATTTTTTTTTAATTTCTTAAAATTCGATAAACTAAAAATTCAAGATTCGCATATTCATTCATGCGTCCCAAAAGAGATTGTTAATCTTTCTAATCGGAAGTGACTGAAAGTGAATCCAAATCCCACAATCGCGCTCCAAATCAGACATCGCCCCATCGATATAGCAATCTCTAACAGAGAGCGCATGAATGTCGATTTTGAAAAATGCAACTCTCTTTTATTGTCGTCTTTGTCGTGTTTTAACAGTCTTATCGTATATAGGACTATACAGTATTGTATTCAGAATTGAATACACACTGTTGCAGATAGCGTATATAATAAAACTGGTCTCTGCAGAGGTTATACCATCTTGTGGCACTGCTTGTGTCTAAGAAAAGCCGGTCCGAGATTCTGTATAGAAGCAGACATTAATTTCTACCTATCGGATTTTGTTAAAACAAGTTTCAGCTGGGGGTAGAAATTGACCTTGCTTACACCACAAGCAACAAACATTCTCTCTATCTTTTTCTTTCACATAGATACACACTCGTATATACATAGAACCAAATCCAAGTTCACCATCTTTCTTGGCGAGCTTTTTACACATATACGTTTCACTTTATACCCTATGCGTGCAAACAAGTGATCAAATTATTCCTAGACATATATCTTACACGTTTAAGATTATTACACTGTATATTTTATATTAATATTTTTCCCTTGCAATTTTTTTCTACAATTATGATAACATACATTTTAACCCATAGAATCTACTACCGGCACTATTTATTTTTCTCTCTTGAAAAACACGCACTTGCTTTTCATTCAAAAGTTTAAAAATAATAATTTTTTAATAAATCCCTCAAAGGAATATTTCAATATCATAAAAAGGAGTTATGAGAATAAGAAAATGTTGAAGAATTTTGATAAAAGAGGCATTTTCCTCACGTTTTTGAAGAATATTTCTCTTTTTTTCGGTGAGAAAAATATTTATGTGGTTGTAAAAGCAATAGACTTCTATGTACTTGTAAGAAATGAAAAATGACGAGTGTACATTCCAAGGTTACAAAAGAGGTTGGTTACAAAAGCCCTTGGTAAATAAAATTTATGCCTGTCTGACCTTCAAACGCCATAAGATATGAATATTACATTCACAATTATTATGTCAATGACCCCTAATTTTTAAAATCATTTCCTTCTATTCAAATTTCTAAAATTTCTATTTATAAGAATACACTGCAGGAGAATTAAATTCCAAAAAGGGGGATTTAAATCCTCTGACTGCGCATGTAGAATACAATATGAAAAAAACCGAATTGAAGTTTTTTTGACAGCATGAAATACAACTATAATTCAAAGGGACTTTTCTCAACATTAATATTTCTCAATTGATTGTTTTAAATGCAGGAACTTGCTCAACACCCGTTTGCGAAGGAGATGATGACTTTTTAATAAAAGGATTCAGCAAAGGACAAACAACTGCAGACGAAGAAGCAGTCCTCGTCGCAAGTACGAGTGTCTTTGTCCTTGAACCTGGAGAACCACCTGGTGAGATTTTAATTTTTCTATATATTCATATGCATAAAAATATTTACATATGCAAACAAGTCTAAAAATGCAACTCCTAAAAATTTTGTACTAACAGTAATTTTTAATTCACGGACAGGACTGTTTCTCTTAGACAAATCCAAATATACTTTAAAAAATAATGAACCGATAAAAGACGGAATAAATTTTAAAAACCTATATACTAGCAACTGAAAATACCTTCTCGGTTTGTTTACCCATGGCGTAATATAGACAAATTCAAAAATGTCCGATTCATTTTAAATTAGATTTAAAATATCAAATTACGGGTATTTGTATAGAAAGAAAGTTAGCTTTTAAAACAAAATAAAAATTATTTTTTAAAGGGTTAAGAGTTTAGTCACTTATTATGTAATATTTTACCAGATTGTAGAGCTTCATTTGAAGATAAATTTTCAATAGAAAAGTGATTTTCGAAAAGAATGGACTTGTGCGGTTTCTGCACAAAACACTTCAATTAAAGAAAAAAACTAAATTTGAATCAGTGAAAAATTACTGATAAAATAATGAGAACTCTTCCACCAAATCATTCGCCAAATTTCACCGATTGTCAGTAGAAACTCACTGATAATCAATTCCAGTAAGAAAGCAAAGATTAAAAAGCATTAAAAAATTCTATTCTTTTGAATACCATTTTCTGTTAATGATTTAATAGTCGAACAGTACTGTTCGGATAATGTGACCACTTTTTGTAATGCCTAAAGTAGCTTCGCTTTAACAATTCTGTAAGTCGAATGTACTCATTAAAAATTTATTTGAAATTAATACGAACTAAATATAAGTGATTACAAAGTCTATGTGACTGATTACAATACTTTAAAAGGAAATCTTGGATTTATTCACATTTGCAGCAGTCTAAGGGAATCAGTGATACAGACAGTCGTATAGTCATTACAACAGGACTATTGTAAAATAAGGTGACCAGCTAAGCTTGCCTTCTTATTTTACTATAGTCCTTTGTAAAGACTAATATTGCTACTTTTCTGATTACAAATGACTGTAGTAAAGTAAAAAAGAAAATTTTCAACTAAAATAAAACTTTTTTTTAATTAGTGACTTTTAATCATATACTGCACATTAATTTCACTCTTCCAAGACTCCCAACTTCAAGATTAATTATATTATTAAACTAAACAATTTTATTAAACCCTAAGTACACAAATCTAACTTAAATATTAAAACGCATAACCTATTAACGATCGCTATTTACACATATTTATACATGACTAAAACCTTCTTATATACTAACTGCTATTAAAATTCACCGCCTTCGAGAAAGACTATTATACATTCTGAATATAAAAAAATTTCTATTCTGCCGTACTGACTTTTATTGTATTACATTTTTTGGAAAAAAACACATCATTCTTGGGTAAAACGGACACGCTCTATCGATTGGTACAATAAAAAATTATAAATTTTAATTGTTTATATGAAAAATTGTAGATAGTACCATTTTGCATGTGCGAAATCGTCGGAAAAACTGGCCTATGTACATAGGCCCAAATTTCAATGAACGCGTATATCTATATATTTCAGTACAGATCGGTCTTCTCGAGTCTCTTTACTGACGTACTATGTACATACTATCCGCGAAAAAATGATAGGCCCTGAAAAATGTTCGAATTTGACTTGAAATATCTCTCTTAAAAAAATTATTTGAAAAAAATGAGACATATTTTTGGCAACTGTGGAATCTCATATATTTGTATACGAAAGGATAATATTGAAAAAAAATTTTTGTACCGTACAGGTGCAAAATTACATCACAGTGTACCCTATTTTTTGACAGTTTCAAAAATGGTCAACTTTGGTACAAGATTTTACACGGAAGCGATTATTCAAAAAATTCGAAAAAGAACTACAGTGGAACCTCGATTATCCGAACCCTCTATTATCCCAACCAAAAATCATTTTATCCGAACTTCTGTTATCCGAACTTTTTCTTGACCTTCCGAATCTTAACATTTATTTTCTCTATTTTTTTATCATTCATATTTTCGCGGGACTTTTTTAGCATCTTTCAAAGCAAAATAACGAAATTTATGCCAAAAAAATCTTAAAAAATCATGAATTCTCTGTTTTATTAATTTATTATTATAAATAAATATATATTTACATTTACAATATACTTATATATCTTTAAAAAATGTATTAAATTAAATATGTATAGTTCAACTGTGGGGCCGTCCATAAACCACGTGGATACATTTGGGGGGGGGGGTGAATCAAAAGTCCACGTTTGTCCACGAAGGGGAGGGGGGGTGTTAAAGCAAATGTCAACGTGGACATATAATCAAAGATATTTCCAAAAAAGATATCTTAAGCTTAATCAGGATGATCATAAGTTTCAGTTAAGGGGGGAAACCACATTAGGTGGCTCATTTTTATGGATTTTTTAAAATTTTTTTTAGGAGGGAAATATAAATCAAAATTCAATTACATTTAGACATCTTTTTATTAGTGTTTTGAACAATGTTTATAAATTCTTTTGATTTATTTTAACCAGAAATAAGGCAGATATGCTGTCGTAATCACTGATGGTCTTGATATTTTTTCTCGACTTGCGTGACGTGTAGCAATTTTTATTTTTAACTAAAATTTAAAAAAAAATTTCTTACATTCTTAACTTATTTTCTAAGAATATGAACCTCATTTTAGGTAAAAATAATAAAAATTTTTAATTTTAAAGGTGTTTGAAATTTTTTCTTGAATTTTCACAATTTTTTTTACACTAATTACACAGAAAAAACATCCTTAAAATCGTGATATCAGCTTAAATGGTGGTTCATATTCTTTGTAATTTTATAAAGAATAAAACTTCCAAATCCCATTATAATCGGTAAATATTTGTTTAAGTTAGACTGCACGCAATCATAAAAAATGTGATTTTGAGAAAAACGCATTTAAAATTTCAATTTATTTTTTTCTGTTAGGCAGAAATTTTTTTTAAAGTCACAAAGAGTCATATAATAATAGAAAAAATAATAAAAAATTTCTAAATATATATACTTTAAGAAAATGGAAAAAATAAAAAATAAATTTTTTGAAAGTTACAATTAGGTTTCCCCCCTTAATCAATTTCCCTGACAATTTACTGATATTAAAATTAATTTCCCTGACAAAATTCTTTTTACAGGAAAATATGAATGTTTACGGAAAATGAGTAAAATTTATGATTTTAATTATTTTTTAAAATGACAATTATAACCCTTCCTGAATTCAATTATTTTCTACAATTTCCACCCAGTAAAAAAAAAGTATTGGAAAAGAGCGAATAGTATTGTCGGTGAGTTTCTGCCAATACGGTTTTCACGCGAAAACATATTGGCAGAAACTCACCGCCAATACTATTCGCTCTCTTCCAATACTTTTTTTTACTGGGCAACTAAACCTTCGTCTCTGAATCAATTAATTTAAATAATTTTCCGAAAGTTCTTCTAAAATTCTGTTATATTTTAAAATTATTTTTGAATTTGATTGATAAATTTTAATTAAAAATTTTTAACATGATTGTTTCCTCTAAAATGTTAAAAATAATTTTAAAATGGTTTTTTTTGTATGTATTTGAATTTTTGAAAATATGTAATTGAGAATATTGAATTTTAAAAAATTAGAAGCTAATTTTCATTAATTTTCATTTTTAAATTTACCTTTAAAGATTTTTTATTCTACAAAAATTGTAACAAAAGACTTGAAATAAATTAATTATTTTCAATTAAATTTTACAAAATTTCAACTATTCAAAAAGATTTGTTTATAGTTATTTTTCACATTATAAAAATCAAAATAACTTGTACTTTTTTTTACTAAAAATTGTGGTATTTTGTCGCAATTATTTTAAATGAGTCGAAAAAAGTCACAATTTTCTTAATTTCCCTGCCAAAAAATTTTTTCCTTACATTTCCCTGACTTTACTGACATTCTTGCTTTGAAATATGTTCAAAAATAATCTTTTTTATTTTTTAACATACAGGAGTAAAAAAAACTTATTTTTTTAATTTGCAATATCCACGTGGACAATTGTATAGGGGGGAGGGGATTTGACAAATGTCCACGACTGTCCACAACGGGGGGCGGGGGGGTCAAAAATTGGTGAAAAATTGTCCACGTGGTTTATGGACGACCCCTGTCCAATTTTTTTACTTTAATTATGAAAATCATTAAAACCTCTATTATCCGAACTTTCGATTATCCGAACCCGGCCTTACCTAGGTTAGTTCGGATAATCGAGGTTCCACTGTACTTATTAACTGAATCTGTCTAAACGAATCTGTCTAAACGAATCTGCTTCATAATTATTAATAAATCTTAATTATTATTGTATTTATTAACAATAATAGGAGACAATGTTATCTCTATGGTTCTAATAGTCTAATTGAAATAAATCAAATTGGAAGTTGTAAATAATTAATCTTTTTATTATCTTAGCTCATTAAAAAAACTAAATTCTTCTATTAATTACATTTTTCAACATTTATTTGGACAGTTTTTTTTTCTTGAGAACAAGTGTAAAACGGTTGCAAAAACCCAATTTTTTGACAAAATCTTAACCCTGTCATAAATAATACTACGAACTTCTCCAAAATGTGGACTCAGAACAAAGCTTAGAATTTTTTTCACATAGGCTATACAGTGCATGCCAGATTTTTATTTATAACAGGGTTAAGATTTTGTCGAGAAAAATTGGGTTTTCGCAACCGTTTTACACTTGTTCTCAAGAAAAAAAACTGTCCAAATAAATGTTGAAAAATGTAATTAATACACTGAAAAAAAAATTTATTTGATTCAAATAATTCAAATTATTTGAAAAATATTTAATTGATTTAAATACTTTTTAGTTGGATCAAAAAAATATGTATTTGATTTAAATATCTGCAATTATTTGAATCATACTTATTTGAACCAAATAAATCGTACTTGATTCAAATAAATAGTTAATTGAATTGAATAAATAAATT